TTTCTGTGAAATACAGCCTGGATGTTCTTCGTGGACCATCTTGCTACAAGGGACCACCCCTGCTCGGTGGCAGCCATCCTTGGACTTAGAGATCTCTTGTGAGGATGCATAGACTAAAGCAAATATCTGGAACCATAATTTAATTAACCATAATTAACCCTTAAAGTCTTATAAGACATAGGAATTTTAAAAAGTTTGTAAACACTTTAATAGCAGTCTTAAATTTTTCTGTGCATGTATTCTCAAAAAAGAATTTTAAAGAATTTTGAAAAATTTGTATTTCCCCATGTTGCTTAACCTAAATTTTATCATAAACTTAATATAATATAGACATTAGTATAATATAGATGTTTAAATAATGAAACAGACTTGCTACTCTTTAAAATATTTCCAGTAGCCAAGAACAATGGTACACACCCATAATCCCCTATAATTTAGGAGGCTTAGTTAGGAGGATCTCAAATTGGAGTCCAGCCTAGGCAACTTAGTGAGAACCTCTACAGTTTAGCAAGACCTTCTCTCAAAATTTTAAAAAAAGAAAAAAATTTAATCGGGGATGTAGCTCAGGGTTAAAGCACAACTGGGTTTGATCCCTAGTACCAAAATAAATAAATAAACTAAACGTCTTCAATCCATTTCAAACACTACTTCATCTCCATATCTACCATCAAACTTTTTCAAAGCATATGAGCAAGCCCTTGACATTCCAGGTTCTTTTTTTTAAATATTTATTTTTCAGTTTTCGATGGACACAACATCTTTATTTTATTTTATGTGGTGCTGAGGATCGAACCCAGGCCGCACACATGACAGAAAAGCGCACTACCGCTTGAGCCACATCCCCAGTCCCTGTTCCAGGATCTTTGTGCTTTGTGAAATTATGATTCCATTTCATTTTTTTCACATCATTTGACTGTTATATATAGATGAGGAATATATGTTACATAAATATCCTGCTGATGTGTGAGTGTATGCATATATATCAGTATATATGTTTGAAACAAATAAACTTTATCTTCTAGAGCAGTTTTAGAATTAAAGAAAACTTGAATGGAAAATACAGAGAGTTCTCAATATAACCTCTGTCCCCACACAAGCACCATCTCCCTCACTATTAACATGTGCTCCATGGTGAAGCATTTGTTACAATCAATGAAGCCACGTTGACACATTAAAGCCCAAACTCCCTTATTTACTTTAGTGTATACTTTGGGAGTTTTATGCATTTTTACCACTATATACGACATAAACCGACCATCGTAACATCAACAGAATATTTCCACTGCCCTGAGAATTTTCTGTGCTCTCTCTCCTTAACCCCTAGCAATCACTGATCTTTTTACTGTCTCCATAGTGTTGCCTTTTCCAATATGTCATGTAGTCTATTTTTTGCTTGAAGTGTTTTTATTGTTCACCCTATCATGCTACTCTGCACAAGTGTTTATAAACTTTTTAAAATTCCTATGTCTTATAAGACTTTAAGTGTTAAATTTATAGATGCCTTATAAACTTTTTTTTCCCTTGATACTGGGGATTGAACCCGGGGTTATTTAACCACTGAGCCACTTCCCCAGTCCTTATTTTGTATTTTATTTAGAGACAGGGTCTCCCTGAGTTGCTTAGGACCTCCCTAAGTTGCTGAGGTTGGATTTGAACTCGTGACCTTCCTGCCTCAGCCTCCTGAGCCGCTGGGACTACAGGCATGCGCCATAATGCCTGGCCCTTATAAACTTTTGATGAAAAGTCAATGAAAATGTTTCCCCATATTGTCAAGGAAATGCAAACCAATAACTTACTCAATTTTTGAAATTACAAAATTAGTAGAGTACTTACTTGTTCTATGGGCTTCCCAACAACCCCATGAGTGGACATTGTTATCATCCTTGTTTTTACAAATAGGGAAACAGAGAACAGAAGTTTAGGAATGTGTGCACGGTCACACTGAGCTTGGATTGGAAACCATGAATCCAAGCTGGAATATCTGTGCTCTTAGCTGTCATTCCAAATGGCCTCTCCATGCTCCTTTCATCTTAAAGTGTGAGATTAATTATTTGGAAGTAAATATGGAATTTACAACATCTATCTCCTTAAAATCATGCAAAATATACAAAGTGATCTGTGACCTACACCAAGAAACCAGTGCATGTGAAATTCCTGTTTTCAGAGAGTGATGCGCAATTCAGGGCAGTGTGGTTTAGAGCATGTGGCTATGTCCCAGCAAGACTTCACAAATCTTGAAGAGTCTAAAATGGGCAGATGGACAGATAAGGTAGATTGACTTGCATATGGTTTCTAGGTTCAGTAAAATCCTCCCATCTTTATCACACCTACTGATTCTGCCTCAGCTCTTCTCTCAGGGGATATCCCCTGAGTAGGATGCCACTTTTGACAGTGAATATATAACAAGAGACCATTAAACAAATTTTGATTATTCCTGCTGACTCCTTCTACAGTATACACAAATAGCATTTAACACAGAGCAAAATTATTAGTTTCTAACACTCAACCCCTACCAGGAATTTGTATGAGGCAGGAGAGAGAGAAGAAAAAAGAAAGAGGAGAAGGAGGAGGAGGGAGAGTTGTTCTACTCTGGATGAACAATGCCTAAATTAAAAGAGATTTTTTAAGCATCTCTTTATTTGATACCCTGGAATTTTTGTGCCATGGGAAAAAAATATATAATAATAAGATAGGAATTAGAAACAAAAAATTGGTGGGCTCAAATAGAGAGCATTTGACTACTATCAAATTTTTTCAAAGCATATGAGTAAGTCCTTGTCATTCATGCTCAAGGGCCTAGGTTCAGTCCCCAGTACTGAAAAAAAAAAAAAGTTTGAGTAAAAAAGGGGAATCAGAAAAGGGGGTATAATTTGATGGGCTGAACTCAGAGTTCCTCTCAAATACATTGTATGCAAAAAATATGCATGTAAGTTGAAAACCTGGAAAAATAATCTTCATAAAACAACCCATGCCTTCCTAACACAATTTAGAAAGCCTTCATGCCTCTCCAAAAATATGGATCATAGATGTCATGTGCAGATCATTGAGTGAAACAACCATGCGAAGGTCTAGATGGTAGATACTTCCACCCTCCACTTCCTGGACTTTTTCTTGGGTCAAATGTGCTGAAGGGCTGAGGCACTGTTAGGTTAAAGGAGTGGTTGTATTCCATGCTGAAATCTGAGTAATGATGCTTCCAAACTCTACATACATGCTCTAATTATTGAAATTAATGAGATATTCACAGCATAATCATGTGAATGAATCATATGCTAAATTACCTGCCATGGATCCCTCTCTTTTCACCTTCCTCTGTTTCAAAGTGACCTTCCTTCCAGTCATTTTTTATTTATCTTTGCAAATCAGAATTTTTATTTACATGATGTGCCTAATGATATTTTAGCTGTTTTATTGAGATATAATTTACATACCACATAGTTCCCATGTTTAATGTATATAAACCAATGGTTTTTAGTATGTCTCCAGTTGTGTTTGGTAAGTCCTTTTATCTACAGACTTAAATCTTTCTTCCTCTTTTACTTCATCTCTTCTTTTTTTCTCAATTTTGAACCTTATTACTTGCATGTTAGTACTCCTGGAATTATTTTCCATCTATCTTATATTTTCTGGATAATTTTCTCCTTGTACTTGTGTCTAATTGGACTCTTTTCCCCACCTGCTCTTCCAGATTATGTATTAATATTCTCAACAGTGACCAGCCTCTTTCAACTTATCTATTAAATTGTAAACTTAAAAATTCATGATTTACATTTTTTAAATGATATAATGAGATTCCCTTGCCTAATATTATTTTCATATTTTTCATATAATGCTCTCCAAAATTCCCTGCAAGGTGCTTTCTTTGGCTTCCATTCTGGTCTCTGGATTCCTCAAAGTGAGATGATGATAATGATGATCTCTTGAGCATGGCTCAGCATGACCTCATCCGTAACATTGTTCAGTTTGCCAACCCTTGAGAATCCAGTAAGTAGTGGAAGACAGCAGTTTCCACTGCTGCAAATTGGGGTAAGCCCACCAACACACTGCTATGACTCTCTACCCCAAGTGGGAGCCTCTCACCACCTTGGGAATTCAGGGCAAACTTTGCCTCCAAAGTCGCTCCCCTCTGTCCTGCAAGACCTGGATCATCAGGCAGTTTCTCTCCTAGACCCATAAAAGTGATATGCACCAACCTTCTGAGAGGGAATTCGTGAGAATTTAACTTTCCCCTCAGGTGTCTCTGCCAAGCACCTCTTGAAAAGTTAGACCTTAATAGACTGCAAAGTGTTTCCCTTGGGAAAACAAGAAGCTCTTTCTCTCTGCTTCTCAAGGTAGCAGTCTGAGAGAGGTATCAACGAGGACCCTCACTCTGACAAGAGATCCAGGTCTAGAGCACCTGCAAGGGCTTAGGAACTATAACTTGAGGTGCACAATCCTTGCCTCCACCCCCATGCATATAATTGCCCCTCCTCCATATCACTGGGTTCTTTGTGAACCACAACCCAATCTCTTTAAAGTACCAACTCTGGTCCCTGCCCTCCCTTCTCATCATTCCAAATTCAATTCTCCTGCCAAATTGGGTGAGTCTCATAGACATGGGGGTCCTGCTTGGCACGGGAAGGATTAGAAAATGAGGATACTTTGGTATGAATGAGGTCTCTGGATTGTACTGTGGAGATTTTGAATGCTAAATGGATTCTAGCATGGAAGTTCTCTCAGGTAATTGAGAAATGCAACACGCCTACTTGCGCACATTCAGATTCTGTCAGACATTGGATGTATTTATTTCTTAGTTAAATTAGCAATATATTATCCTTTTCTCCATTTCTGGTAAAGATAAAAGAGGGCAGTTAGTGTCTTTCTTAAGGATGTCAGGGAATCAAATGAAGCTGGGAAGGGACTTGTAGGGAGGAATAAGAGGAAACTCAGGTCTCGGGTCCTCAGGTCTGCTTCCTCCCTGAAGGATGTGGCACTCCAGCTCAGGGGCCACTTGGGAAATTCTATCTTCCACTCATCTCCATGGCCACTGGGGATACTGGTCTCCTCCGGAACCAGTTAGGGCTCCAGCTAGGCCTGTGGGAGACTGCATGATTCTCTGGAGGGCTTGGGCCACGGTAGGTACCATGGGGGTAGTAGACAGCTGTGTCTAAGATGTTTCTCAGGGACAGGTAGTTTCTCTAGAAAAAGAAGAGACAGTTGTTTCAGAATCATACCCAAGTCTTCACCATGGACTCCTTTAGAATCATCTCCCTCTTTCACCCATCTCTCTCAGCTAACACTCCTCCCTCCAATATGTAGTCCTTTTCCAGCACCCTTTTCTCATAGGTCAATGGTTTTCTATGCACATTGATTGGCTCTTCTGGTTCCAACTTGTTATTTTTATTTGTAACTCTCTTGATCTCCATTTCCTCCTTACTGGCCCCTGACTAGAAGTTTATGCTGTTTATTCTGTTTCTTTATATTCCTGCTGCTCCTCCCCACAGGTATTAGGCACTCACCATACAAAAGAAGATCCCAGCAAAGAGCCCCACAGCCACTACAATTGAGACGAGGGTGATGAGGAAGATTTCCCAAGGCTCCAGGGACCCACTGGGCTTCACCTCATTCACTGGAGTAGTAATACTTGTACTAATTCTGTAGAAAGTTGTGTGTATTCCAGTTGAAGCAGGTGTGGTAGAGACTTTGGAGGTTGCATTTGATCCAGGGTTGGAGGTTGTGCTCATCCCACTGGAGGTCACACTGAATCCAGTGTTGATAGCTGTGCTGACCTTATCAGATGTTGCACTGGACACAGCATTGGAGGTTATGCTGCCCTCATTGGAAGTCAATGTGGATGTGGTGTTGGGAATTGCATTGGTCTTAACAGAGGTTGTAATGGATGCAGTGTTAGAGATTGTGCTGGCCCCACTGAAGGTCACACTAGATCCAGTGTTGATAGCTGCACTGACCTCATCAGAGGTTGCACTGGACACAGCAATGGAAGATGTGGTATTGGGGGTTACATTGGCTTCAACAGAGGTTGTAATGGATGCAGTGTTAGAGGTTGTGCTGGACCCACTGGAGGTCACTCTAGATCCAGTGTTGATAGCTGTGCTGACCTCATCAGAGGTTGCACTAGAAACAGTGTTGGAAGTTCTGCTGCCCTCACTAGAAGATGATGTGGAAGCAGTGTTGGGGGTTGCATTGGTCTCAACAGAGGTTGTAATGGATATACTGTTAGAGGTTGTGCTGGCCCCACTGGAGGTAAAATTGATTGCAGGGTTGAACGTTGTGCTGGTACTATCAGAGTTCAATGTGGTTCTAGGGCTGGAGATTGTATTGGCCCTACCAGAGTTTGCAGTGGAAGTAGTGTTGGAAGTTGTGTTGGCCCCATTGGAGATCACACTGGATCCAGTGTTGGCAACTGTGCTTTCACGGGAGCTCACTCTGGATACAGTATAGGAGATTATACTGGTTCCTCCAGAAGTTGTACTGGATCTACCATTGGATGTTACAGTGGTGGTTTGGTTGAATGTTGAGCTGGTTGCCATGGGGGTAGATATGTCAGAGGCAGTTGAGGTTTCACTGGAACCTGTGTGGGCAGATGTGCCTGTAACACTTGTGGTTATTACTAAAGATAAGTAATAACAAATATATGTAAAGCATATACACTTCCTGCTCAATGGTTAGTTAAATTCATTACATGGATAATTGTATTTAATGCTCACCACAGCCCTTCAATGTAGATATTATTATTATCATCAGCTAAGGTAAAGAAACTCAGGATTAGAAACGGTGGTGGTTGTCCAAGTTTATATAGCTAGGATTCATGAAACAGGAAGTTGAATCCAGGCTATTGAATTTGTACTTAGCTAAGTCACTCTCTCCTTCTCATCCCCAATGTAAGAGTTACAAAACATAGGCTTACTCATAGATAAACTTATTCCATATTCTGCTATAGAAGATTCACTACAGATAAGAAGTATCATAAAGGAAGTATACAGCTAGGGCATGTAGAGCTCAGTGACAAAGCTTTTGCCCAGCAGGTGTGAGGCCATAGATTTGGTCTCCAGCTCTGCAAAAAGAAAAATAGGTAATCCAGGATTAGGTGACACTAATATGTTTAGATTTATTCTTTTTTTTTTTTCCAGTACAGGGGATTGAGCCAAGGGCCTCATGCATACTAGAAAAGCCCTCTACCACTTAACTATATACTTAACCCCTTTTAAAATTTTATTTTGAGATGAGCTCTCACTAAATTGCACAGGTTGGCCCCTAATTTGTGATCCTCTTGCTTTCATCTTCCAAGTCACTAGTTACAGGAGTGCACCACCACACCCAGTTTGATTCACTCTAAAAGTAGTATTACTTCCTTCTTAGAAAATATTTCTCTGAATATTTCTCAGAAAACACCCACATCAGATCACCTGGGAGAGCTTGCCAAAAATAAAGACTCCCAGCCTCCAGACTAAATGAATCAGTTTGACATGGGGCCCAGGTTTCTGCATCTTCAGAAGAGCCAGGTGATTCTATATACATCAATGTTCCAGAGACTCCTGATCACTATGCAAAGGCCAGAGAATAAGTTATGTGCAACATAAATGCATAAGATCTCCCAAAAAGAAGGGCTGTCAACCAGAGTCTACAGGCATAGGGAAGGTCTCCAACTTCTTGCAGGATCACCTAGAGTTTAGGCTGTGCCTACCTTTTGCTCCTCACTACCCTGAAGATAAGGATACATAGCTTCCACAGCCTTTATTTTCCCATCTCATTTGTGGCTTATTTTACTACTAACTTGATCATGAGTTCCCAGCACCTCACCCTGCCTGTCAATTTTTAAAAAAAAAATCTTATTTAAACAAACAAAGGATTAGAGTTTTTAGCTCTACTTGGGTAGGTCCTAAAAAAAATTCATCGTAGTACAAATGAGTGTTAAGGTCCAAATAATAAATAAACTAAATAAGAAAATGGAATGACCAAGAGTATAGGTGACACGTGAAAGAGGGAGAGGATTTAATCTAAAAAGTTTTGGAAAGCAAAATAAATGAATCAAAATTATTGGGAGCCTAAATTTGGTTCACTATGATGAATATTCTAAGTTATGTTTCCCATGTGTGCAATAGGAGGTAGCCCATGAAGTGTTTGATAGAGTATCAGAGCTGCAGAAATGTGGTTCTTACATCCTATTCTCCTTGGTCTGAATCTAATTTTGGCTGATGTGAAATCAAGGTTAGCGACAGGAGAGAAATTGAGTTTGAAGAATACTGAACAACAATATTTAAAAATACCCAACTCTTTCTGTTCTTACTTAAATCTCCAACCATATCACACAGGTTATTAATTTCACAGATGCATAAACAGAGGCACAGAGAAACAACTCACCCAAAGTACACAATTAATATAAGGAGCCAGGATTTAGGTGTAGGCAAGGTGAGAACAAAGCCCAAAGTTTTCACTACTGTCTCCGGTATGATACTCTACTCTGCTGATGTGTGAGAGTAAAACAATGATGATTCTTCTATGAATAACTAGAGCTAGTCTCAGTAGTAATTACTCTCACAACTCCTCAAAGGTTCTCATCCAATCCACCTTTAAATAAAATCACTTACCATCTTCCAAAAGTAGGAGATGCAGTAGCAACCAACAGAGGAGAATGTTTCTTTTCTGCATCTTCATCTGCTCCTGTGGCTGGAAAGCAAGAATCCTGGAACCCAGAAGTAACCAGGACTTAGTGGACAAAGAACAGAGGATTCTGGGGAAAGAAGAATTCAAGGTAAAGAGATAAAGCCTGGAGTTTCCAAGAACTTGGATCTCCTAGGTATGTATTCTTGGAAAGAACCTTGAGCTTGGGGATGGATGGATGGATGCCTAGGTTCCTTAAGCTTCTTCTATGTGATGTTGTTGCCTGCTTCTCTATTGTGGAAGTACAGTAGGGGCCTTTTTAGCTTTATTTGGGCAGGGTAAGGGTTGGGCAGTTGTCCTGACAGTCTGCCAATTGTGAGCATGTGAAAAGCAATGCTGAGCCTGGGAACGAATAGACCACAAAAAAAAAAAGGTAAGAGAATGACATGATCACACTAGGCAGGTCACTAAGCTGGGTGGCAGCAGAAAGAAGTAAGAAGTTCAAGGTTGTTAGAGTGAAAAGGATCCACCCTCTGTGCCAGGGATGGAGTTAGAAGTTTGTTTTAGCTCAGGACTTTGTTTCCTAGTCAAAAAGTCCTGTGGGCTGACTTTAGCATGGAAAAAGCCAGATGAACTCAGCTGAGGGGCAGGACTCCACATCTGTAAAGCATATGAAACTCAAAAGAGAGTAGCAACTAAAAATCTGGGCTCCTGAGTTACAGTTGGAGACAGATGAAATGTTGCTGGATACAAAATAGGCACTCAACAATGCACACTGAATCAACAGAGGAAGAGAGATCCAGGGTTAATGAAGTCATCCTTGGGGTCTTTGTCCATTTTGTGTTGCTATAATACCTGAGGCTGGATACTTTATCTGAAAAGAGGTTGATTTAGCTCACAATTTTGAAGACTTCAAAGTGCAAGATTGGACAATCTCAGTTCTGGTGAGGGCCTTCTGGCTACCTCCCAACGCGGTAGATGACATCATGGTAGAAGCGTACATGAGAAGGAAAGATCACATGTTAATATATGAAGAGATTCAGGAGAGATGCCAGGTTCTCCTATAACAACATGCTTTACCCAGAGTGAGAATGCATTCCTGAGAGCAAAGCATTAATCTCTCTTAAAGACCTAATCACCTCCCACTAGGCCCCACTTTTTAAAGGTTCTACAACCTCTCAACATTACCACATTGGGTCCAAGCCTCAGCATGTGAAACTTTGGAACAAACCACATAAGAACCATTGCAGTGGGCTGGGATTGTGGCTCAGCAGTAGAGTGCTCACTTAGCATGTGCAAGACCCTGGGTTCGATTCTCAGCACCACATAAAAAAATAAACAAAATAAAGGTATTATGTACAAAAAAAAATAAATATTTAAACAACAACAACAAAAAAATCATAACAGAGGGATGGGGCTGTGGTTCACTGGTAGCACACTTGCCTGGCATGTGAGGCACTGGGTTCAATTCTCAGCACCACATATAAACAAATAAATTAAATAAAGGTCTATCAACCACTAAAAATTAAAAAAAAAAAAAAAGAGCCATAGCAGATCTGGGAATGATGGTGCATGCCTGTAATCCCAGCAGCTCAAGAGGTAAGACAGGAGAATCATGAGTTCAAAGCCAACCTCAGCAAATTAGTGAGGTACTAAGCAACTCAGTGAGACCCTGTCTGTAAATAAAATAGGGCGGGGATCTGGCTCATGTTGAATGCCCCTGAGTTCAATCCCTGGTACCTCCCCCACAAAAAAGTTCAACAGCACTACATGAAAAAGACATCTCCCTCCCACTCCCTCTAGAATTATTTGGAGGAAGAGCTCCTGGATTTAAGTCCAGATTCTGCCTTTTAGAAGCTACCCTAAAAATTGTAATATGCATGCAGATAAGAGTCTAAATGTAATTGATATCTTTATTGTTCTTGACTTTGCTTTGTTTTTGTTGCTTTTTTTGCTTCCTTGTTGGTTTTCACTCCTAGTATCTGTTTTTAATTTGTGATTTGAGATTTATGAGTATAAATCTTCTTGAGATATTATCTGCAAAAGTTTTTTAAAGGCTGTGATGAAGCCATGATTCTCCAAAGAGAATTTGTAAGGTTTTCCCAACATACAGAAGTATTATCATGTTTAAAGGATTCTTTAAGTTGGATTGTAGGAAGGAAATCTTTTGTATTACCTATATTGCATGATTCAATCTACAAACCATGGAAATATTGTCATGGTTACTCCAGAGATATTTCTCCCATCCTACCCTGCATCAAGCTGAGAGACAAGTGATTTTGCTTACGTTTCCATAGAGGAGGGGTGAGTTTATTTTTAGTTTATATTCTCAGTGAAGCTTCCAAATTTAAATGAGATCTACTACTAGATCCTCCACCTGGACTGGTCCTACTGAAGCTCTGATTACCGAAGCTTCAGTTTCCTGGATTTGGCAAAACTGACTTCAGTACTCACCTTTCTTCCTTGACTTCCTCCTTTAACTTAGATTTAAATTTTAACATTCTTTATTTTGCTGTCAACTCACTAATTCTTTTAAGAAGGTATTTTAGTCCATCATTTTTAGTTTATGAGGACATTTTAATTAGGACACCTACTGTATCATATAGCCAGAAATTTAAGATCTCATTGGATTGTTTTGAGGGGAAAAATTATTTAAGGGCAATAGCATGGTATTTGTCACAGAAAAAGTAAGTAATAATAAAGGACAAAAAAAATAAAAAGACAAACACAAAAACATAAGTACATAGATGACAAGTAAATTTGGGGATTTTAATTGTAACGCTGTCCCAGTGAATTTCTCCTTAATTGTCACATAGCATTTGGAAGAGACAAAGAAGTAGGGAGGAATAATCATCCCAAAGATGAAGACACAGGAAGCACTGAGAAGATCTAAGATGGTTTTGGATCCATTTATGTCTTAGTCCGTTTT